TGTGCAATTCCACCCATCTGCCCTCTTCAACCATGCCCCCTCCACCAGGCACCTGCCCATGGTCTAGCTGGCGGGTGACTACCCACTTGGCAGCGCACTATGGATTACTGCGATGGTTGTGCCCTGATATGTCCACACCTCCCAACTCCCTCCCAACTTCCAGGAACCGTTATGGGGATTACGTTGGTGCATGCGGTTTGGCCGAGTCGTGCTCGCTCTTTGCGGAAAACAATGGCCTATACCACGGAAACACACCCTCCAACCCCAAACAAGTTGACCCGCCAACCGGTCCTGATAGATTGGAAAATTGTATATTCTCTTACTTTCTCTCCATCCCTCTTGCCGTTCCTACCGCCAGCACATTCCTTACGGAGTGTAGAATTTGCGTGGAACATGAAGATTGATGGCTGGGTGGCTGGCAGCTCTTGCGAGGATGCAAAGCACATTGCGTGTGATGCCACTGGCATGATAACGAGCATGTGAGCAACCCCCTATGCATGTTGCCACTGGCATGATGCCACTCTGACCCTCCTTAGGCATTTTCTCTCTTTTCGTCACTCATAATGGGGAGCACAACATACCACGTGGTTGTATCGAAGGACCCCCCAGCTCCAGTTGTCACCACCCCTCAAACGTCCAACAGAAATCGAGGTGCAGTGCAAGAAAGAGCAAGGGGCAAAGCACAAGCTAGGAGCAAAGCACAAGCAAGGGGCTAAGCACAAAAAAGGGCAAAATACGTTTAGTTCTTTTGACACCACTGATTTGATTGATTCGTGTTCATGTGATCGCAACCACTAGCTCATGGTAGACTCTCCGTACTCTTCCCTCTAATTTCAGAGATCTGTTATCGAACAACCTTAACGGGCCCATTCCATCAACCATTGGCAACTTGATGAAGCTGACATATTTGTGAGTTCCCCCGCTTAGCACACACACGTGATTGGAAAACGATGCTGAAGAATTTGTAAAGGCCAGGCTAGAGTGTGGCAGGAAATGTTGAACCACTGTCAATGGGGTGCTTCGGTGATGTGGTAAAAGATGAAAAACGGCAGAGATTCTCACCTTTGTGCATCATCATGCCATTTCATCAAGCATATGAAGCACAAGCCAGGAAAGGTGGGCAACCCATTCAACACATCTTTCATATATAACTGTAGTGTCTATTGATGCTAATGCTCAATTCACTTCCATTGCTGGCCCTTCAGTATGTTCTCAATTTCCAGATGCACAAGGCCAACAGTTTTTCACCACCACCCCTCTCTACTATTTTTTTCTTCTCCTATACGTCTACACATGGAATCCATCATTTGTTCCCTCAGAAATCTGCCCAAGAACAACCTGACAGGGTCCATCCCATCAACGATTGGTGGCCTGAGCAACTTGGCATATTTGTCAGTATCCGCCTTCAGTACTTTCATTTCTTTTACGTGAGCATATGTGCCTTTCACATCTGGTCGGCCATGGCCTCCCTCCCTTCACTCAACCCATGAACCATCAGAGCACACGTCTGGAAGGTGAAGTATGGAAAACACCAGGCATTACAGGAATTTCCGTCCCCTAATTGCAGCCAATTCGTACATTTGTGCCTCAAACTGGCCAAAAAGCCTGCATTTATTTTGAGTGAAAACGAGTAAGACCTTTCGTAAACGGTCTGAGCCATAGAGTCTTTCTTCTGTTGTATTTCCAAGTTGCGAGAGTTGATTAAATCATGGTATTCAATATGCTCTTAATGAATATAGCAGCAGTATGGTTGGAGTGTTGTTTTGCTGCATTGTCATTTACCATCAATATCCCTCCCATTCTTGTTTTTCATGTGCATGTGGATTCCACCTATTGGCCCATTAGAAATCTAGGTTGGAACGACTTATCTGGATACATTCCAACAACCATTGGCAGCTTGAGCAATCTCACACACCTGTCAGTATCTCTTGCCAGCACAGTTTGCTTTGGGCATCTAGAACTGCACCAATGGCTTTACCCCTGTGTGCACTTACGGATTGTTCTCTTTGGCTCAATATCTCTACACATGTTGAAACATCATTTTGTGGGTAGCGCTGTTATGCTTTGTTTCCTGTATACCCAAAGCACTTCACCTGGTATATGCCATATCGTGCCTCATTAGGATTCCAGGTGTTAGCAACTTGTACTTGTTCCATGATTGCACCAACACACAATGGATCACCATTGCTGTCGTACTCTCCTTATCCCCTTCATTCTTACTCTAACCATGGATCCGGCCGCGTGCAGAAGGCTAGACGGGAACAACTTTTCTGGGTGCATTCCACCAGAAATCGGCAGCTTGAGCCGTCTCACACAGCTGTCAGTATTCCCCATTAACACAGCTGCGTTCTCTCTCCTACTTGTTCCTTTGTACTCTTTTTTTTTTTCACTTCTTATATACTTGGTTTGTTTTCCCATGCTTGCTGTTCTGAAATCAGTGAGTCACAAAGTACAAATCATAAAAAGCAGAACCAGAAGACTCACACATTTCCTGGGTTTGTACGATGCATCCACAAATGCAGCCACAGAGATCGACTCGCATGTCCGCCAGACTACAACGGTTGTGTGGTCACACAGAACAGTTCAAGTGCCTTCTGCACAGAATGCACTTCATTCTGCAATACCTGTGACAAATGTGAGTATAGCTATTACCACGGGATTACTCACAGTTCCTCCTTGTACTGCTGAATGGTTTTCAAGGTCTAAGGATAGATAGCTTGGTGTGTTGCTGATAGCGTGTGTTTGATTACCTTGGTGCTCATTTCTGCGCCAAGCATGCCTCTTGAAACTACCTTTGACTCTATCAAACTCTTTTGCTATTATTTTCTTCCCTCATCCCAGTGTCAGTGGGAACTATTGCAGGTATTGTTGCTGGTGGTGCAGTTTTCTTGGTGTTGCTGGTAGTTGGCGTTCTGCTTTGGAGGAGGCGTTGTGCCAAAGGGGCAACACACAGAGCAGCAGCAACTTACAAGGGCGAAAAAAAGTTTGTGAAAGCAAAAAGCCGCCAAGGTGAACCTTTTTCTCCCTCTAAATCAAGCCACCGATTCCTACATTACAAGGTACACAATGTACCGGTAAATGAGCAAGAAAGCTCTTCCTACCACTCACATCCCTGAACATGCAGAGTCACACAGGAAGAAAGATAATCCAAAAGCAACCATGGCAACAGCAGCAGAAAAGGGGGCCCAAAAGAAGAGAGGGCTTTTGCCCGTTATTACATCAGCTCAAACAAGTACACCCTTTCTCAATCACGCACAAACTTCCTGGTTTCTCCACACACCCTGGAACTTTGTATTCTTCTCATAAGTTCCCATATCTTTTATATTCCTGATTCCAATCAGTTTATTCACACCACTCACATCCTTGAATCTGCAGAGTCACAAAGGAAGGATGAAGATCCAGAAGCAGCCATGGTAGCCTCAGCAGGAGCAGCAGCAGCAAGAAGGGGCCTAAAACGAGGTAGGTTGTTGGTGCCATACCTTCAAACCTAATCATTTCCACCCGTGCTCTGCTCCGCTCACACTTCAATCAACTCACCCATATTTTCCATCTCCAGTTCTCGTTGTTTCTGTCATTTTATGTCGAATATGAATGCCCAGTTGATTGAGATAAGTATGCTCTTCTCACCGGTCAAAAACCATGACACGCAGAGAAAAGTGATCCAGAAGCAATAGCAGCAGCCATAGCAGCAGCAGCAGCAGGAGTAGCAGCAAAATCAGAATCAGCAGGGGTGGTGGATGGAGGTGTGGTGGTGGATATGGATGCTGCACGACCACAGGTGTGCCAAGAGTACTCCCTGGAAGTGCTGGCAAAGGCAACAATGGAGTGGGCAGAGAGGAACAGGATTGGCAGTGGCAGCTTTGGAGATGTGTATAAGGGTGTGTCTCCCCACAATCACACTCAAGTGTGAGCTGTCAAGCGAGCCAGAGTGCTCACAAATGACTTTCTCACAGAGGTACAATTGAGCAGGTTGTTTGAGATTGTTGGTTTTGTTGTTGTTTTTGTTGTTTGGGAGGTTTTGTTCCATATCTTCAACAATTTCTTTCTGTTTAGCTCTACGCCTGCAGATTGTTTCTCTGAATCGAGCTCGTGTGAAAAGCCAGGGGTTGGTACACCTTGCACCACGATTCAGGGTTATGATAATAATTAGAGCCGTTTTTTTGTTATGCTTTGCAACTTTATACATATTCCATGTCGTGCCTTCCCTCCTGCAGGTGAAGGAGATGGCCAGCAAGCACCATCCCCATCTTGTGCGTCTTCTTGGATATTGTATGGATATGAACACGACCACAAGGCACATAGAGCAGATCTTGGTCTATGAATACATGGCGAACAACGATCTTGACAGCTGGATCGGACAAGGTGTCTCCCATCCTCTTTCCCTGCGCCAACGACTGGATGTTCTGATCGGAGTGGCGAAGGGGTTGCAGTATCTTCATGACTTTGGCATTGTGCATCGCGACATCAAGCCAGCCAACATTCTCCTCGATGACAAAATGCAGGCATGTTCAAAGTTACAACTCTTGTGGCATTGCTTTGCTCATCTCACTTGTCTCGCTTTTCCTATCGAAACAAACATGCCACCAGTTGCCAAGTAATGTCTTTTCACAAGCCTTGTGATTGATAACTTCACCTAGGGCAGGCCAAGATAGCGGACTTTGGGCTGGTGAAGCTGAGTGGAGGAACCTGCATGGGCACCTTAGTGGCTGCCACTCGAGTGATGGGCACACCGGGCTATGTGGACCCCGCATATTTCAAGACACACAAGGCCACTCCAGCTGCCGATGTGCACAGGTGATATGGTTTGAGTGCTTGTTTACGATTTATGGTTAGCACATCAACATGACAATATGAATCTCATTGTGAGTTTTGTACACCACTGCATCCTGGCTAGAGTATACGTAGAGTGATTTCATAGCGGTTATGGTGAACAACAAGATTTAACGCAACTGCTTATCTCTGGGACATTTTTTTCTATCATGAGCAGCTTCGGAGTGGTGATGCTGGTGGTCATCACAGCACACAAGGCTGTTCACATGACAGAGGACAGCCACACCAGCCTAAAGCAATGGGTGAGTCTTAAGACATCATGCAGACCATAGGTGCACTACATGTGATTGCATCGTTCACCATAATGCTAAGTAACATGTGCTTTTGTACCCGTGAACCTTCTGTTATTAGAAAGTCCTTAGGTTTCATCCCAATAACTAACCCCCATTCCCATTGCATTTGTATCATCTACTTACAGATTGTGTTGCCAAAATCAGCACGCCATGAGTTTGCTATGGCACTCTGCAATGGCCAAGCAGTCTGGTTGGCATCCAATAACCCAGTTGCACATTATCTCGCCTTGCCTACCCCCTCCGCTCCACCCCGCAGGTGGTGCCACTGGTAGCATCCAGTGACGTGGCAGCATTCAAGGACCCTCACTTGGATGCTCCAGACGACTTAGTGCTGCGCATGGCTCACCTTGCCCTCGCCTGCACCGCCATGCCCACTGCCACCCGCCCTTCCATGACTCGAGTGTTGGGCGATTTGCTGGCGATGAAGGAAGAGGTGATGGGGGCTGAAGTGCACAGAGCTGCAAGCCGAATTGACAGGGAGATTGGAAGTTCAGCTGACCCGGTGGACTTTAATGTCAAACTGGCTCGAGTAGAACAGATGGATGTGCAAAGTGGAAATTTTAGTGTGTAATAATGTGCTCTTTGAATTGCTCCATGAATTTATTGAGACATACTATGTGCTAAGGCATTTTTTCAGTTGTTATCATAATTTGCAGTACTTAACGTCTTCGTGTGATTTGCTTTGACGATTCTTTTGGAAAAAAAGGGTTGTGGTAGGTACGACTCATTGTTTTAAATAAAATAGCACTTGGTATTTTCATAGGGATGAGTTTTTAGGCACAAGACTCTATCAGGATAAATGACGCATGCGCGCACATCCCTGTCAGAAACGGAATGATGTGTGTAATACTGTGAGTTGGGATACATATACCTAACCCTAACAACTGTACCCCACATGACATGCCTCACTACAGGCTACAACATTTGACACACCCCCATAGCCTAAGTGAGGGGTGTCATGCAACAACCAAACCATACGGTCACAAGACCAGTCACAAAGAGACAAAGCTCAGGGTGGATCACAACGTCACCACACAGTCCGAGCACAAACAAGAGGCCACAAGGCCAGTCCAAGAGTTCACAGAGGTATATGCAAAGAGTACAAACAAAGCAAGCAGACAACACAAGTCTACACAAGACGAGAACATGTGTCAACGAGACCTAAGTGCACACAAAACCTGTGGTCGTCACAGGGCGGAAGGGCCTTGGTGAAGATGTCTGCAGTGTTGGCCTCGGAGCCCATGAAGTCCAAACGAGCCTGTCCACGCCTCTGCAACTCTCGAAGAAGAAAGTACCTGACGTTGATGTGCTTCACTCTGCTCTCCAGTTGAGAGTCTCGGCACAGGAGAATCTTCACCTTGTTGTCTGTGAACAAGGTCAGTGCAAAGCTCGACCACTCACCAAGGTCAGTGAGCAAGAAGGTCAACCAACGCAGCTCCTGTACAACCATGGCTCCAGCATAAATCTCGGCCTAAGCAATAGAGGTCGAGACAGAGGAGGAACGAGTAGACCTCCACGACACAGCTCCAGAGCCTGGACTGAAACAGTACCCCTGCGTGGACCTGTGAGTCTCGACGTCGTCGGCAAAAGAAGAGTCACAGTAGCAAGTGAGCACGAAAGGTTGTCTCCCTCCAAGAACCAGCCCCACGCCTGATGTCGTCGCTAGGTACTTCGCCACCCTCACAGCAGCTGTCCAGTGAACAGGACAATGTCTCCCTCGCGCATTAAAGCGGGCAAGGATGCTGAGAGGGAAGGCGAGGTCCGGGCGAGTACAAGTCATCAGGTACATGAGGCAGCCCACAAGCTCTGGGTAAAGATCACTAGGCTCAAACGGCTCATCAGGGAAGGGTCCGGTGATTCTGTGGTCAACAGCAAGAGGAGTAGGTTGTATAGTGTAGAACTAAAACCCGAACCGCTAACAAGGTCAGAGTGATGGTGCGAGCTGCTCTGTCCCCAGAGATTTGCAGGCCAAGGTAGTGGCGCAGCTCGCCAGGATCAGTGCACGTATGTCTCCTCTGCAGTTTGGACTTCACGTCGGCCAAAGCAACAGTGCCTCAGTGTCAGCAGTGGCAAAGACCAGGTCATTGACGGAGACAAGTACAACGAAAGGTGTGGAGCCACGACGAACAAACAACGATGGGTCGGCAGAAGACGACTGGAAACCGAGGTCAGATAGGGTAGAGAGAAGAGTGACGTGCCACTCACGAGGCGCCTGACGGAGACTATAGATCGGACGTCTACCTCCACTGGGTCCCAGGAGGGAAAGTGCCAGTGAAGGCAGAGGGACGACGCAGCCAGATCTCCTCGTGTAGGCTACCCTAAAGGAAGGCAGTGGAGAAGTCGAGAGAGTGTAACTCGTAGTCTTTCTATGCTGCCACGTGAAGTAACACCCGAAGAGTGGTCATCTTCGAGGTAGGCGCGAAGGTTTGAAAGAAGTCAACTCCGTCATGCTGAATGAAACCTCTAGCCACATAACGCACCTTGAAGACCGGAGGAGATCTGGGTGGCTGCTTCACCTTGAAGATCCACATGCCGTCGACTACGTTCGCCCCCGGAGGGGGAACCTCATCGACGTAGGTGCCCGTGGATCTGTAAGAGGTCATATCTGTGTCCATGGCAGCTCTCCACTAAGAGGCCCAAGGCCCTGACACTGCCTCAGCGTAAGTGCGAGGAGTCGGTATGTCAAGGGCGTCGGGGTCTCCCTCAGGGGCGAGCAGCATGGCACAGAGATGAGGCGAAGCGGCTGCCAGGAACTCTAGCTCAAACTGCCTGTCCTCTAGGGCGTCACAGCCAAGGGCAGACTCATCCCCGACGGCCAAAGGACGGGTAGGAGGAGCAGCCACAACACGAGTGGCATAGTCAAGGCGGCGAGTAGCGGCGAACTCAGTGACAGCGGCAGTAAGGGCGGAGAACACGAGAGAGAAGAGGATGGTATGTGCGGTAGTAGTTTGTGACAAGAGTAGAGAGGGAAGGAGTAAGGGCCAACTCATAAGATAAAGGAAGCACAGACGGAGACAGACGAGGGGAGCTAGAATGAAACAGGACGGCACGAAGGTCAGTGGCGGGAACAAGGGACAAGGGACGAGCACGAGGAGAGCGAGAAGCCCAAGTGTGAGAAAGAGGAGGGGACAACGGAGGCTGAGAACGGGGGAAAACAGCCGGGGTGGAGTCAGGAGGAGGAAACGTGGGACCGTAGACAGGAGGAGAGGGGGAGGAGGGAGGAGAAGGGGAGGGGAGACCAAGGGCCCGAAGGCCAGAGACAGGAGGCGTAGGCGGCCGCTGCTGCTGCTGCTGCTCCTGCTGCTGCGGCTGCTGCTGCTGCTGCCGCTGCTGCTCCTGTTGTGGCGGCTGCTGCTGCTCCTGCTGCGGCGACTTCTGCTGCTGCTGCTCCTCCTCCTCCTCCTCCTGCTGCTGCTGCTGCTGCAGCTGCTGCTGCTCCTCCAGACAAAATCCAGCGAGAACGCCGAAGCGAAACTCACCCTTGCGGTTGGAGTGAAGACAACTGACACGACCGTGACGAGTACCCTCTGTGGTGAGCAACCACTGGATCAGCAGAGAAGTCACGTCGGACTTCTTCGCCAAAGGGAAAACCGTGGTGTAGCGAGAGTAGTCATCGACGACCACCAGAAAGAAACTCTCTTGCTCAGGACTAGGGCAAGAGGCGGGGCCCCAGACGTCCAAGTGGAGAGTCTCGAAGGGCTCGGTGGCTGGACGAAGGGAGGAGGAGTGAGGGGTGGCGCGCAACCGACCCTCGACCTAAGGGCCGCAAGGTGGTGCAGGCGAAGGTGGCAGCGACGGCAAGACTCACAGGAGGCCTAAGACAAGACGCTGTCTAGACATAGTGTGAAGGCGAGGAAGGGACGGGTGCTACAGAACGGTGTGGTAGGCAAGCGACCGACACGAGCAAGAAGAAGCAACCTCACCAGACGTTGTAACCTGACCAGACATAGCTACCTGGCGGGACGCGGCAACCTGGTGGGACGCTGGGACCTGACAGGGGGCAGTGACAAGGGTCGGAGAAAGCTGCTGCTGCCGCTGCTGCTGCTGGTGCTGCTGCTGCTGTTGCTGCCTCTCTCGAGGGCCAATGTGAAGCATGTAGAGATCAGAACCCGGCTCCTAGTGAAAGGTGGCCAGGGGGGCTAACGTGTCACTGTCCACACACGTCCCTAGAAAGCTCAAACCAAACTCTAACGTGCTGACCCACGAGCGGCGGCACACCCACCAAGTTCCTAGAGAACAAGGGGACGTGTAAGCAGGTCAGAGAACCCGAGGGAACAGCCGGGCACAGAAGCGTAGTAGAGTGGTGAGCAATGACTGGTCCCGAAGTGGGATCAGCCAGTGCTATAGAGACTAGCGCAGGAAGCGGAGTAAGAGTCGTGTAGTTGCGTAAGAAACACTGTGAAGCTCCAGAGTCCAGAGTGAAAGACAGCGAAGTTTCCGCCGAAGTAGCACTTGGACGAGTACCTAAGCAAGTACCTACACTAGCAACTGGCACAGGATCAACACTAGCACCTAAGCTAAAAACATGCGAGCAAACGGAGTCAGAAGCACTAGAGTCAACAACAGCACACATAGCATTTGCAGTTCCTAAGAGTTCAAGTAACTGAGAAGCAGACATATCCCACAGTGGGGGACCGTGCGAGAGAGCAAGGGGAAGCCAGTCATGGGCAGGGCCGTCTGCGCCGTAGGCCGCGCGAAGTCTGTCAGTGAGCTGAGCAAAGCACTGACCCGGTGGGTGACGGCGGTCGCAGCGAAGGCCACTGCGAGTATCTCTCTGGATGAGGTAGGGGCAGGGTGGGTGGGCGTCACCACGCGACAGTTGACGCGGTCCTGACCCCTGCGTTTGAACCTGCTACTGCCCCTGCTGCTGTTGTGAGAGCAGTGGCTGCTGCTGCTGAGCCAGGTACCAGGCTGCTACCCCAGCACCTGCTGCTGGCAGCCCTGCAGATGCCCGACGAACTCGAGCGTCACCACCACCAACTGCAGTAGGGGAGCCACTAGAAGCTGCAAGAGGCGCTCCACCAACAACTGCACTCCCGCTACCGCCACTCGCCACGCCGCTTCTGCTGCTGGCCGCACCCTTGCAGCCCCTCCTGCCACTCCTAACTCTAGACCGCGCAGAAGTCGTGACAGCAGCCACGGTCTCGTCAGTAACGATAGCGGCGAGGGAGGCAGTAAAGGTGGGCAGCTGTGGGACAGTGCACCCGTGGAACAGTGGGGGCGCACAGCGCCAGAGGCGGAGGCTACCGAGCGGAGGTTGCTCTCGATGTCCTTGAGCGCAGACTCAAGGACCTCAATAGTGAGCTCGCTATGCTGCTTCAGAAGAAGCGCGTCTTTAACTGTGGCAAGGCGGTCAGGGAGGCTAGTGACGATAAAATAAATAGTAATTGCCATGGGGGGGGTCAGTGCAAGCTGTGCATCAGTGCCGGCAGCGCGGTAGCTAGAATGGAGTGAGCGCAGGTGAGCGATCAAGTCAGCAGAACGCTCAAACGAGGCGAGGTCAGGAAACAGGAACGGGAGGAACAGGCGACCAAGAGAGACAGTGGTGGGAGTGGAATAGCGGGCCTTGATCGAAGTCAGGAACTCGCTAGCAGTGCGAACCTGGGTGAAGTGGGTCTCCTCAGACTCAGGGAGGAGGCTGCTGAGGGCGATGCAGGCCGCGGTGTCACGCGACTTCTAGGCTGTCAGAGCAGCGCGCTGCTGTTCAAAACGCTCTCTGTCCGCAGTGGTGGGGTCAGCGCCTAGGAGTTCAGGAGCAGAGGGCGCAAGAAGGTCACCGGAGACGTGCGCCCAGAGGGACTCGTCAGCCTGACACTGACTCTCTAGCAGGCGCTGCGCATCTAAAAGCCAAACAGATAACTCCAACGGCCTACCCTCGGCATCAAAGCGCAGGACCCTACGCGCCGCCATAGTTGATGCGGAGAGGAGGGAGCTACGGCTCCCAGGCGCCTAGAAGGCCTGAGCAAGGCGTGACAGGCAGGGCGCTAGGAGCACAAGAGGCAGGGCGGCACAAGCGCGACACGTAGAGCGCAAGGCGCGACAGGGAGGGCGTGACGGGACGGGCAAGGGGGGGGGGGGGGGTGGGGGGAACGGGACGGGTAGGGCATGACACGACGGCAGGGTAAGCGCGACAGGACGGGCAGAGAGCGACGCGACCGGACGGGCAAGTAGGCACGACGGGACGGGAAGGGCGCGACGCGACAGGACGGGTAGGGCGCGACGCGACGGGCAGGGAGGCGCGACGGGACAGGCAGGGCGCGACGCGACGGGACGAGCAGGGCGCGTCGGGCGCTAGGAGCACGATGGGAGGGCACTACGGGCGTGGTAGGCTAGGCACAACGGACGCAAGAGGCTCATGAGGGAGGAACAGGATCCTAACCTAGGTGATACCATGTCAGAAACGGAATGATGTGTGTGTTACTGTCAGTTGGGGTACGTACTGTATACCTAACCGTAACAACTGTACCCCACATGACATGCCTCACTACAAGCTACAACATTTGACACCCCCCCCCCCAAAACACACACACACACACATATATACACACACACAGATGCACACACACACATACACGCACACACGCACGCACGCATGCACGCGCGCACACACACACACACACACACGGACGCACACAAGAGAAAAATCTTACTTTATGTCACGCTCAGCACCACGTACAATACACATCAATGTTTGACAGTCAGCAGTCGTTCTTTATCCATTAGCACCTGTCAAAATTCGCCCACACATCACCTTTCACATCATCCCATCCCAGCCAAACATATGATTCGTTGTACAATTCTATAATCCGACAAGAGTAATACCCCTGGAGATTGGATGCCTGCATAGTAGCGAGCCCCATATAGTCGCACATTTCCTGTTTCTGTTCTTGCCTATCAAATCGCTAATGTTCTTCTTTATGTTAGCCCATGCCTTTGCCTCTTCATAAGGAAGTTGGATTTTAGTTGGATTTTAGAAGTGTTTGTAAATGATGATCGAGCGGTATTCGAGTGTTGTATCTCGAGGAAATGACAAAGCACCGTGCTTTCTTGTTTTTGATTCCGTTGGGCAGTGGTTTTGACCACGCATTGTTCTGCGCTCGCTCCGAATTCCCACGGGCAATTTGCTTTTCTCAATACACGCTTCTTGGGGCAAAAAAAAAAACCCTCTAAGAAAAGGCATGGGAATAAGGGATGCATCAACCCTAAACACCTTGCCGCATGGTATTCATGGTTGATGCCTCCCAACCTGGCATGTCCGTCCCGAGATGGTTTATTGTTTTTGTCCCCGAAAAAAAGGCACTTCCGAAGGATGAGGTCCGGGGATCGAACCCACCCCCATGCAGGCGTGTTCTGCCAGCCCCCCAAGAAGGGGGTCTGCACCAGGCCTGTCGAAGTCTTTCAGACCAATACTTTGAGTCCTGAGCTGCTCAAAGTTTGGCCCTTATTTTCGCGAAGGTGACAATTTTTTAGCCCTTAACGATCACGGGCGCAGGTCAAATTCAAAACTTGAAATCCGGGCTTCCTACAAGAAATATACGTGAACCCTAATGTCACACAGGCGAACCCCAACCTATTACTTCCGAGCGGGAAGGAGTGGGCTAGCGACTCATCTGCATACCTACAGCAAGGGGGGAGTTGCGCTGAGGAGGGGAGTGAGGGGGGGGGGGGGCTCTGGAGGGGGTCGTTGGGCGAACTGTCGTCAGCAAAGAAGTCGTTTAAATTCGTCTTTTCAATCGCAAAGCACTTCTGAGGTGGTTCGTTTTTCGTGTGGTACTACTAGTGTGAACTGATGGTGCTGAGTTCCTCTTCGCCACGTAGGGTATCAGTGTCGCGAGTCCAGTGTGAGTACTTAGAAGTATGAGGGAGCGTATTAACTGTTGAAAATATTATGCAACTACGGCCATAACGTCACACTAGAAAGTCATTTCATAAGTAGATTGAGTGTGGGAGATATGAGGAGGATGAGAGCGGGAGGAGAAGAGTGGAAACTTGTTGCAGGGCTACTTTACTCCTGATCCGGGAAATCAGGGAAAGGCCCCGAACCAGCCCTTAACAGATCTGGGTTGAGACCCCCATTTCTCAAAATCAGCCCGTAAGAAAAACGGGCTCCCCTCGAAACCAGCCCTTTGAAATGCCGGAGCTGGCGAGAAGTTCGCCCAAAATGTTCAGGGCATTAAGGGCAAATGCCATTGAATCGACAGCCCTGGTCTGCACGTGCTCATCTAGGAAATGGATATTCCAATTGGTTACGACCAATATATAACTTAAAAAAAAAAAAACAACTGCCCGTGGGAATTGGGCGCGAGCGCGAAGCGCTGGGCTGTCAAAGCCACTGCCCACTGGAATCGAAAACAAGAAAGCACGGCACTTCGTCATTTTCTTGTTGTCTCCCCATCTCCCACTTGAAGTCAGTCACCAGGGACTGCGACTCCAGATCTGCTCCAACGTCTTGGCGCGACCAGCGATTCCAAGCCTCGTCGTTTCAGCAATCTGTTCCTCCCTAGCTGGCGATCGTACGCGGTTCGTGTGGACGAGTTAGCATCCCTCGCGCGCCGGTAGCCGTCATGAGCAGAGATCGAGCATTTCTCGTCGTTCTGCTTTTGTTACTTCTCGCAGTAGTCTCGCAACCCTTCGCAAGCCGGCGTCCCCTCTTCGCGAATGCCGAAGAATTCGACGATGAGCGGTACGCCTACGACGAGGACGACGACATGGGCGACGACGACATCCCGGCCGGCGACGACGGCGACGTCGTCGCACTGACGGCTGCGACGTTTTCGCAGGCCGTCAGCGATCACAAGCACGTGATGGTGGAGTTTTACGCGCCGTGGTGCGGCCACTGCAGGGCCCTCGTTCCCGAGTATCGCGAAGCAGCGGCGACGCTCAAGGAGCTCGGCGTGCTCTTCGCGAAGGTGGACGCGACGAAAGAAACTGAGCTCGCCGACAAGTACAACGTGGACGGTTACCCGACCATCCTTTTCGCCACGGATGGCGAATTCCAGCCGTTCGGCGCCGGGCGAACCAGGTAGGCTCTCTGGAACAAATCGATCTCGCACCTCCCGTGTGCTGCGCGCGCGTGTGATGAGGAAAGGCTAGTCTTGAAGCTCTTACAGGCGCCTCACTTGCAAACCCCCTCGTACAGTCAATTCGATCTGTGCTCGTTGCTCAGATCTGACCTTTCAACTCACCTCACTCTCTTCCTGCGAAAGCCTCACCTTCCCACTCCCCCCGTTCTCGCGTGCCCCGCTCTACCTGCTCCTGCTGCTTTCCCCTCGCTCCCCTCGTTGCTGCCCGCTGCTGCAGCGCGGAGATAGTGCGCTGGGTGAAGCGCAAGCTGGGCCTGGGCGTGACGGCGCTGGCGCCAGTCGACATTCCCAAGGTGGTGTCTCTCATCGAGAGCGCTGCCGCCACTGCCATCGCTTTCGTGACCACTCTTGACGTGAGTGCCGTGTGGTGCATGCGCTGTGTGGTGTATGCGCTGTGTGCCCTTGACGGGGAGGGGGGGAGGGGGGGAGAGGGTGGAGGGGGGAAGAGGGGGAGAGGGAAGAGAGGGGGGGGGGCGAAGAGGGGGAGAGGGAGAGTGGCGGATAGGGGCAGATGCAGAGAAACATGGTGATGCAGAGAAACATGGTGATGCAGAGAAACATGGTCGGGAAATTCGTGAGTGTGTTGTCAAGTGCGATGCCAGATTCCCTCCCTCCCTCCCTCCCTCCCTCCATCCCTCCCTCCCTCCCTCCCCGTCCCTCCTGCCCTCCCTCCTTTCTTCCCTCCCTCCTTTCTTCTTCCTCCCTCCTTTCTTCCCTCCCTCCTTTCTTCCCTCCCTCCTTTCTTCCCTCCCTTCTTTTCGCCCTCTTCCTACCTCCCTCATCCCTTCCCATCCTCTTTCCTCCACCCTTCTCTCACACCTCCTCTCATCCCCCTCCTCCGCTCCCCTCCCCCTCCCCCTCCCTTCCCTTCCTTCCCTTTCCCTCCCCTCACCCCCCTCCCCTCCCCTCATCCCCCTCCCCTCTCCTCATCCCTCCCCTCTTCTCATCCCCCTCCCCTCTCCTCATCCCTCCCCTCTTCTCATCCCCTCCCCTCCCCTCATCCCTCCGCTCCCTCCCTCCTCCTCCCCTCCCCTCCACCCCTCCCCGCCTCCCGCTTTCTCTCCCACAAGGGCCCGGAGGCAGCAGCGTTCGGAGAGGCAGCGAGGGACACGGACGGGGTGGATTTTTTCGTCACCACGCATGCTGACGTGGCGGCCGCCTTCGGCCTGCCAGCTGGCGAGCCGCCCGTTCTAGCTGTGGTGAAGAAGGAAGAGGAGCGGCTGGTGGTGTTGGGTGAGTGCACTGCGCACCTCGCTGCATGTGGGCGCTTGGCGGCATTTGGGGCCTGGGTTGGGCTGAGATGAGGGGCGGCATTTGGGGCCTGGGTTGGTGGGGTTGGGATTCAACACCCTCCACCTACCCACCTTACAATGGAGAACGACCGATGTTCAACACCCTCCCCCTACCCACCTTGCACGCACGCACGCACGCATGCACGCGCGCACACACACACACACACACACACACACACACACACACACGCGCGCACGCACCCACACACACACACACACACACACACACACACTCTCTCTCTCTCTCTCTCTCTCTCTCACACACACACACACTCACACACACACACACACACGTGCACACGCGCACGCACATGCATGCACACGCGCATCACACCCACGCACACACATACACCCACACGCCCACACAAACACTCCCCCCTCCGTCAGACGGCGAGTACCAAAGGAGGTCCCAGACTCTCTTAGCACCTCTTCCCACCTTTCCCCTCTCTCTCCACCCCTCTCCCATTTCTCCCCCTCTTCCCTCCTCTCCCTACCCCTCTTCCCTCCCCCCCTCCCTCGAGACGGCGAGTACAGCAATGAGACCATCAGCGCATTCCTGGCTTTGGAGTCAATCCGAGTGACATTTTCCCCCTCCCCACTCTCCCATGATCCCATCCCTCCTCCGACACACACCACCCCCCTCCCCCACGCACAGACGGCGAGTACAGCAACTAGGCCATCAGTGCGTTCCTGGTCTCTCGAGCTGATTTATAATTCATCCTTTCCCCCCCGTCACCCCCGTTCCCCCTCCTCTCCCCCGTCTCCCTCCCCTTCCCCCCTCTCTCCCCTCTCCCCTCCCCCTCCCCCCACCCCCCCCTCCTCTCCCCTCTTCCACCCCCCTCACACCCCTCACACAGACGGCGAGTACAGCAAGGAGGCCATCAGCTCGTTCCTGGCGGCCAACCGGCTGCCACTGCTGCTGACGTACTCTGAGGAGACCTCTGCTGCCATCTTCTCCTCTCCTATTGGCAAGCAGGTGAGGCGCATGAACTGGGGTGAGATGGGTGCATGAACTGGGGTGAGATGGGTGCATGAACTGGGGTGAGATGGGTGCATGAACTGGGGTGAGATGGGTGCATGAACTGGGGTGAGATGGGTGCATGAACTGGGGTGAGATGGGTGCATGAACTGGGGTGAGATGGGTGCATGAACTGGGGTGAGATGGGTGCATGAACTGGGGTGAGATGGGTGCATGAACTGGGGTGAGATGGGTGCATGAACTGGGGTGAGATGGGTGCATGAACTGGGGTGAGATGGGTGCATGAACTGGGGTGAGATGGGTGCATGAACTGGGGTGAGATGGGTGCATGAACTGGGGTGAGATGGGTGCATGAACTGGGGTGAGATGGGTGCATGAACTGGGGTGAGATGGGTGCATGAACTGGGGTGAGATGGGTGCATGAACTGGGGTGAGATGGGTGCATGAGGTGAGATGAGGTGGCTACCACTGCTGCTGACGTACACCGAGGAGACCTCTGCTGCCATCGTTTCCAGCCCTATTTGAACGCAGGTTTGGTGAGGTGGGTGCATGCGGTGAGGTGAGGTGGGTGCATGGGTTGGGGTGAGGTGGGTGCATGGGTTGGGGTGAGGTGGGTGCATGGGTTGGGGTGAGGTGGGTGCATGGGTTGGGGTGAGGTGGGTGCATGGGTTGGGGTGAGATGGGTGCATGGGTTGGGGTGAGGTGGGTGCATGCGGTGAGGTGAGGTGAGGTGGCTGCTGCCGCTGCTGCTCTCATACACAGAGGAAACCTCCGCTATGTTGAGTTGAGAATTCTCAAAAGTAAACTCAACATGAGGTGGCTGCTTCCGCTGCTGGCATACACAGAGGAGACCTCTGCTGCCATCTTCTCCTCCCCCGTGGGCCAGCAGGCGGGTGCGCCAAGCAGACGGCGTTAGGTGAGCCACCTGACCGCACCTGACTGCAGCTGACCGCACCTGACCGCACCTGACTGCAGCTGACCGCACCTGACCTCGTCTGACCACATCTGATCAATCCATACCACACCTGATTGTAACTGTCCAGACCTTCCCAGTCTCGGCCCTCTTACCCCTCCCTCCCCTCTCACTCCTCTCACCCCTCCCGCCTCTCTCACCCTCATGCTCCAATAATTCCTTCTCTCTGTGCACCGCACCATCCATTCAAGTTGCTGTGCTGCAGGTTCAAATGACTGCCTCCTCTCCACCCCGTCCCGCCCGGTGCTCCTGTTGGCATTGGACATCTTATTCAGGGAGCATTCGCCCGCACTCCTTCCTTGCAGCAGCACTGTCCCCGTGCCTCTCTTTCAAGTTGTCTCCTCTTGAATGCCTCCTCTCCTCCCCGCCTAGCCAGGTGCTGCTGTTCGCATCGGACAGTGCATTCAAGGAGCTCTCGCCGGCACTCCTTGCTGCTGCCAAGCACTTCAAAGGCCAGGTGCGTGCGTGCGTGCACTGCAAGTGCCACGCAAGGGAAGGGGGGGAGGGAGCACGTCGGTGCATCTTAGCTGCATGCCTTGCGCCTTCATGCCTTGCGCCTTCATGCCTTGCGCCTTCATGCCTTGCGCCTTCATGCCTTGCGCCTTCATGCCTTGCGCCTTCATGCCTTGCGCCTTCATGCCTTGCGCCTTCATGCCTTGCGCCTTCATGCCTTGCGCCTTCATGCCTTGCGCCTTCATGCCTTGCGCCTTCATGCCTTGCGCCTTCATGCCTTGCGCCTTCATGCCTTGCGCCTTCATGCCTCCCAACTGCCTAGCTGCATGCCATGCCATCGGCCACCCGCCCATCCTGTCTCGCCGCCCGAGTGCATGCGCATACCCTTGCTCATAGCCTTGCTGTTCTTACCACGCCTTTTTTCCCCATGCCACAGGCCATGTTTGTGTTGGTGAACGCCTCTGACCCCAACTCACAGCCCATCCTGTCCCGCCTTCCCAAGTGCATCCTTACAGCCTTACTGCTCCTCCCACCTCCCTTTCCATCTGCTGCAGGCCGTGTTTGTGTTGGTCCCTCTGCTGCAGGCCATGTTTGTGTTGGTCCCTCTGCTGCAGGCCATGTTTGTGTTGGTCCCTCTGCTGCAGGCCATGTTTGTGTTGGTCCCTCTGCTGCAGGCCATGTTTGTGTTGGTCCCTCTGCTGCAGGCCATGTTAGTGTTGGTCCCTCTGCTGCAGGCAATGTTTGTGTTGGTCCCTCTGCTGCAGGCCATGTTTGTGTTGGTGAATGCCTCTGACCCCGGGTCACAACCCGAGATGACTCTTGAGTCGACTCAAAAGTCATCCCTCCCGAGTGGTGCATGCTCATAGCCTTTCTGTCCGTCCTCCATCCCCCTTTTGGCCCTTTTCCCCGTGCTGCAGGCCATGTTTGTGTTGGTGAATGCGTCAGACCCCGAGTCACAGCCCGTGCAAGAGTACTTTGGAGCAGACGCCTCCACCACTGCCGTGAGTGCATGGCTGCTGCGCTGCCCTCTGCGCTGCCCTCTGCGCTGCCCTCTGCGCTGCCCTCTGCGCTGCTCTCTGCGCTGCTCTCTGTGCTGCTGAATGCAGCGTTGAGTTTCATGTGCTGTCATCTGTCAATTGCTTCCATTCCACATGCTCACATCACTCGCCTTATGCGTGCATGCCTGCCCATGTGTGTACATGCCTGCCCATGTATGTGTGCATATCTGCCCATGTGTGTGTGCATGCATGCATGCCCGTGTGTGTGCATGCATGCCCGTGTGTGTGCATGCATGCCCGTGTGTGTGCATGCATGCCCTATGTGTATGTATGTGTGTGTGTTCAGATCATGGGGTTCACCATGGGAGGCGGCGAGGACCCATCAGTGCCAGCAGCAGGCCTCAAGTACCGCATGACTGACCACCCCACTGCAGATAACATCAAGGTGAATGCGCTTGCATCTGTTGTGTCGTCTGCAAATCATGCTACTGCCGTTGGGTTTCATGTCCTTCTGTCTCAATCCTTCACGACGCAACCCCATGCTGCTTGTGGTATCCGATTCGATTCGATCCGATCCGACCTGAGGGCGTGGACCACATTTGTTCAAGATGCTGCTCAAGCTTCGAATGTTCAAGACTACCCTACTGCACCATGTGAAGAAGTTTCGAAAAAATCTATCAGCCGTTTTCAACCCATGCATTTTTTTGAACAGCCTGTTCAAGAAGCTGTCTTGAACAATTGTGGGCCACGCCCTGAGTTGATTCGATCCGATCTGATCTGATCGATCCGACCCGATTTGATCCAATCCGATCCGACCCGATTTGATCCGACCCAATCTGATCCGATCCCTATGGAACAAATTCGCTGTGTGGCAGGACTTGCCCTCCCGTTCTGTCAACCCTGCTCGCCTCCCTCCCTTTCTCACTCCCCTGCTTGCTTCCCTCCTTTTCTCTCTCCCCTGCTCGCTTCCCTCCCTTTCTCTCTCCCCTGCTCGCCTCCCTCCCATTCTCTCTCCCCTGCTCGCTTCCCTCCCTTTCTCTCTCCCCTGCTCGCCTCCCTCCCTTTCTCTCTCCCCTGCTTGCATCCCTCCCTTTCTCTCTCCCCTGCTTGCATCCCTCCCTTTCTCTCTCCCCTGCTTGCATCCCTCCCTTTCTCTCTCCCCTGCTTGCTTCCCTCCTTCTCTCTCTCCCCTGCTCGCTTCCCTCCCTTTCTCTCTCCCCTGCTCGCCTCCCTCCCATTCTCTCTCCCCTGCTCGCTTCCCTCCCTTTCTCTCTCCCCTGCTCGCCTCCCTCCCATTCTCTCTCCCCTGCTCGCTTCCCTCCCTTTCTCTCTCCCCTGCTTGCCTCCCTCCCTTTCTCTCTCCCCTGCTCGCTTCCCTCCCTTTCTCTCTCCCCTGCTCGCCTCCCTCCCATTCTCTCTCCCCTGCTCGCTTCCCTCCCTTTCTCTCTCCCCTGCTCGCCTCCCTCCCTTTCTCTCTCCCCTGCTCGCTTCCCTCCCTTTCTCTCTCCCCTGCTCGCCTCCCTCCCATTCTCTCTCCCCTGCTCGCTTCCCTCCATTTCTCTCTCCCCTGCTCGCTTCCCTCCCTTTCTCTCTCCCCTGCTCGCTTCCCTCCATTCTCTCTCCCCTGCTCGCTTCCCTCCCTTTCTCTCTCCCCTGCTCGCCTCCCTCCCTTTCTCTCTCCCCTGCTCGCCTCCCTCCCTTTCTCTCTCCCCTGCTCGCTTCCCTCCCTTTCTCTCTCCCCTGCTCGCCTCCCTCCCTTTCTCTCTCCCCTGCTCGCTTCCCTCCCTTTCTCTCTCCCCTGCTCGCCTCCCTCCCTTTCTCTCTCCCCTGCTCGCTTCCCTCCCTTTCTCTCTCCCCTGCTCGCCTCCCTCCCATTCTCTCTCCCCTGCTGCTCGCTTCCCTCCCATTCTCTCTCCCCTGCTCGCCTCCCTCCCTTTCTCTCTCCCCTGCTCGCCTCCCTCCCTTTCTCTCTCCCCTGCTCGCTTCCCTCCCTTTCTCTCTCCCCTGCTCGCCTCCCTCCCTTTCTCTCTCCCCTGCTCGCTTCCCTCCCTTTCTCTCTCCCCTGCTCGCCTCCCTCCCTTTCTCTCTCCCCTGCTCGCTTCCCTCCCTTTCTCTCTCCCCTGCTCGCCTCCCTCCCTTTCTCTCTCCCCTGCTGCATCCCTCCCTTTCTCTCTCCCCTGCTTGCATCCCTCCCTTTCTCTCTCCCCTGCTTGCATCCCTCCCTTTCTCTCTCCCCTGCTTGCTTCCCTCCTTTTCTCTCTCCCCTGCTCGCTTCCCTCCCTTTCTCTCTCCCCTGCTCGCTTCCCTCCCTTTCTCTCTCCCCTGCTCGCTTCCCTCCCTTTCTCTCTCCCCTGCTCGCCTCCCTCCCTTTCTCTCTCCCCTGCTCGCCTCCCTCCCATTTCTCTCTCCCCTGCTCGCTTCCCTCCATTTCTCTCTCCCCTGCTCGCTTCCCTCCCTTTCTCTCCCCCTGCTCGCTTCCCTCCCTTTCTCTCTCCCCTGCTCGCTTCCCTCCCTTTCTCTCTCCCCTGCTCGCTTCCCTCCCTTTCTCTCTCCCCTGCTCGCTTCCCTCCCTTTCTCTCTCCCCTGCTCGCCTCCCTCCCTTTCTCTCTCCCCTGCTCGCCTCCCTCCCTTTCTCTCTCCCCTGCTCGCTTCCCTCCCTTTCTCTCTCCCCTGCTCGCTTCCCTCCCTTTCTCTCTCCCCTGCTCGCCTCCCTCCCTTTCTCTCTCCCCTGCTCGCTTCCCTCCCTTTCTCTCTCCCCTGCTCGCTTCCCTCCCTTTCTCTCTCCCCTGCTCGCTTCCCTCCCTTTCTCTCTCCCCTGCTCGCCTCCCCCCCATTCTCTCTCCCCTGCTCGCCTCCCTCCCATTCTCTCTCGCCTGCTCGCTTCCCTCCCTTTCTCTCTCCCCTGCTCGCCTCCCTCCCTTTCTCTCTCCCCTGCTCGCTTCCCTCCCATTCTCTCTCCCCTGCTCGCTTCCCTCCCATTCTCTCTCCCCTGCTCGCTTCCCTCCCTTTCTCTCTCCCCTGCTTGTATCCCTCCCTCTCTCTCTCCCGTGCTTGCATCCCTCCCTTTCTCTCTCCCCTGCTTGCATCCCTCCCTTTCTCTCTCCCCTGGTTGCATCCCTCCCTTTCTCTCTCCCCTGCTTGCATCCCTCCCTTTCTCTCTCCCCTGCTTGCATCCCTCCCTTTCTCTCTCCCCTGCTTGCATCCCTCCCTTTCTCTCTCCCCTGCTTGCATCCCTCCCTTTCTCTCTCCCCTGCTTGCATCCCTCCCTTTCTCTCTCCCCTGCTTGCATCCCTCCCTTTCTCTCTCCCCTGCTCCCATCCCTCCCTTTCTCTCTCTCTTTCCTGCTCGTTTCCCTCCCTTTCCCTCTCTTCTCCCCGTTCACTTCCCTACCCACAGTCCTTCACACAACTTCCTTGGCAGCCGTCTCAAGCCCTTCTTCAAGTCACCTGCTCCCTCTCTTCCCTGTATCCCTCCCTCTCTTCCCTGCATCCCTCCCTCTCTTCTCTCTCCCCTGCTCCCCTCCCTCCCTTCCCCTGCGCCCCTCCCTCCCTCCCCTGCTCGCCTCCTCACAGTTCTTCACACAGAGCTTCCTTGACGGCCGTCTCAAGCCCTTCTTCAAGTCACAGCCCATCCCACAGGAGGTGAGCGTCTTGTGAGAGTCACGATGTCTGAAAGAACTTTTATCTCTCAGCCTCAAAGCAGTTCAAGTCAACTCGGGATAGTGGAGTGCATGCATCCCACACCAGTTAGGAGTCATAACCCTCAGGGTCTTTAGAAAACCTTTTAAGATGCATCTCAGTGGTGCTGTTGCCAGCACCTGTGAAGCAAAAAACCACGGGATAACGACGGGATCAGGAAGGTGGGTCTCGTCTTCCTTAGACATGAGCAAAAATTCGAACTCCTGTTCGGTTCGACTCGAAAGTGTTCGACTCGAACGTGTTCGAGTGGTTTTTTTGCCCAAAATTGTTCGTGACGAACACCAAGGTGTTCGTCACAAACACGTTCGACTGTTCGAGTGTTCGTGTGCAGAAAAATGCAGGAAAACTTAGGTGTTCGCGAACACAACGTGTTCGTCGCAAACACCTAGGTGTTCGTGCATTTTTCTGCGCGTCAAAGTTTGACGCTCTGGTTGGATCTAAAAGGGGGGGGGCGACGATTGAGCTCAAGAATGAGCACAATCGTCGATATAGCCTAAGGATGGCATTCCACCCCCTACCCACTTAAACTAACACATTGCCACGGTTGAAATTCCACTTGTGGCTAGAAAGGTTAGGTATAAGGTTGGATTAGGGTAGGAGATGGTTACAAGAAGGAACTAAGGGCATTACGGTTTAGGTTGGAGTTAAGCAAGGCGAAATTGGATATCCACCAGATCTGCGCAAAGCCTAACTATATCTCTTGTAGGGCTTTAGGGAACGGGACATTGCTTCTAGTGCACTCGCCCTGCATGAATGTGACTATACTGAAAGAACCCCCCAAGGCAAACTGTTCGAGTTCGGGTCAAACACCTTAGTGTTCGGCCTTGCCTCAAAACTGTTCGACCCTATACTCGAACGGGGAACACTAACATTTAGGAAAACTGTTCGAGTCAAACGTGTTCGGTTCGGTTCGAATTGACCAAGTGTTCGCAAACTGTTCGAGACAAACGTGTTCGGTTCGCTCGTTGCTCATGTCTAGTCTTCCTGATCCCGTCAGTTAGGGTTCGTTTACCTCCGTCAGTCTGGTCAGCCCGTAAAAAAGGTGCCGAGCCTCTCCTACCGTCCAAACCAAGTGGGTGTCTGGCGAACGCCCCCATTTGTCCACCAAATCGAACTGCTCGACGGCATATGGAAGCGGGGACGCAACTTCGTCACCAAGCAAAATTCCATCCCCTAGCCATGCCATCGCCATGCTGCGTTTTTCAAAGCACAGCGATGGCACAGCCGTCGCATTGCCGTTCAGGGGGGAACCTCTGAACGAGCCATTTGTTTGACAAAGGGGGGTTCGAATACCCCCAATTCTTCCCCTCCCGAACACACCTTCGATGTGCCGCCCGCAAGGGGGTGAGTTGTGAGTTGTGTCTGGGCATGTGCACGAGGTGGCGGGGGTTGTGTTTGTGCAGCGTTGGGTTTTATTAGGGTTTTTAACCCACGTCAAGCAATTTTTGGTCTTCGGGCAGCACAAGGGTCAGTGAGGGTAAAGTTTCGCGCCATTGGGGGTAAGGTGGGGACGGAGGTTCCCGATGCGGTTGCGTAATTTCGCCTTTCGGGCGTGAGAAGTTTCTCGGGCGGCATTTCGCCCAAACCTCGGAGGAGGGTTCCGCCTCCGTTTCCAGATGCGGTCGCGATGCCGATGCCATCTTTTTCTGTTCAAATTACGATTTGCTGGCGAACAGCACCAGTGACTCAGTCCTTCACTGTTCATCCAGTTTGCAGCTCTGCTCTGCGTGAAAGACCGTAAGGGGTGGAATGGGTGCGAGGGGCGGTTGTCATTCCTTCCGTCTTTCTTTCCATGCTGACCCTCGTTTTACCTCTCCTCTTCAACTATCCACCGTCAAACCCCCTCCCTCCACTCACCCTCCACCCCCCGTCCACCTCCCTTCCCCTGGTGGGTGGTGGTGGTAGGATGAGGGGCCGGTGACGGTGGTGGTGGGGGATTCTTTTGAGCGCATTGTGTTGGACGACACAAGAGACGTGCTCCTGGAGGTGCGTGGTGGGCGGGGCGTGAGAGGAGCGGGGTGAGAGGAGCGGGGTGAGAGGAGCGGGGTGAGAGGAGCGGAGTGAGAGGAGCGGGGTGAGAGGAGCGGGGTGAGAGGAGCGGGGTGAGAGGAGCGGGGTGAGAGGAGCGGGGTGAGAGGAGCGGGGTGAGAGGAGCGGGGTGAGAGGAGCGGGGTGAGAGGAGCGGGGTGAGAGGAGCGGGGTGAGAGGAGCGGGGTGAGAGGAGCGGGGTGAGAGGAGCGGGGTGAGAGGAGCGGGGTGAGAGGAGCGGGGTGAGAGGAGCGGGGTGAGAGGAGCGGGGTGAGAGGAGCGGGGTGAGAGGAGCGGGGTGAGAGGAGCGGGGTGAGAGGAGCGGGGTGAGAGGAGCGGGGTGAGAGGAGCGGGGTGAGAGGAGCGGGGTGAGAGGAGCGGGGTGAGAGGAGCGGGGTGAGAGGAGCGGGGTGAGAGGAGCGGGGTGAGAGGAGCGGGGTGAGAGGAGCGGGGTGAGAGGAGCGGGGTGAGAGGAGCGGGGTGAGAGGAGCGGGGTGAGAGGAGCGGGGTGAGAGGAGCGGGGTGAGAGGAGCGGGGTGAGAGGAGCGGGGTGAGAGGAGCGGGGTGAGAGGAGCGGGGTGAGAGGAGCGGGGTGAGAGGAGCGGGGTGAGAGGAGCGGGGTGAGAGGAGCGGGGTGAGAGGAGCGGGGTGAGAGGAGCGGGGTGAGAGGAGCGGGGTGAGAGGAGCGGGGTGAGAGGAGCGGGGTGAGAGGAGCGGGGTGAGAGGAGCGGGGTGAGAGGAGCGGGGTGAGAGGAGCGGGGTGAGAGGAGCGGGGTGAGAGGAGCGGGGTGAGAGGAGCGGGGTGAGAGGAGCGGGGTGAGAGGAGCGGGGTGAGAGGAGCGGGGTGAGAGGAGCGGGGTGAGAGGAGCGGGGTGAGAGGAGCGGGGTGAGAGGAGTGGGGTGAGAGGGGGGTGCACGGATGTTGTGTACTCAGTGTAGGAGCTCCTGAGGAGCTGCCACCAGTATCGTGAAGTAGTGTTTCATCATGAGCGTCGAGCACTCTTTAGCTATCTGCGGATTTCGAGCAACCGTTGCTTGGCTTTGCGCGTGTACTGTAACGCCACACCCCACACCTTGCTCACCTGTCCCACCGTTTCTTATTTTCCTGCTCTGCTGCCGCTTCCCGCTCTTCCCACTCTTTTCAACTCCCCTCCTCATTTCATATTCCGACTCGTCCCTCCCCCCCCCCCCCCTCCCACTTGCCCCTCCTCTCTCCCAACTCACCCCTCCCCCACACTCACTCGCCCCTCTCCCACCTCTCCCCCCACTCGTCCCGCTTGTCCTACTCACCCCTCTCAACCCAATCACCCCACTCACCCCTGCTCACCCCCCTCTCCCAAACCGCCAGGTGTATGCCCCCTGGTGCGGCCACTGCCAGCAGCTCGAGCCCACGTACAAGAGGCTGGCAGAGCGGTTCAGTGCGGTGCAGTCAGTGGTGATTGCCAAGATGGACGGCACAGCCAACGAGTACCCTGGCCTTGAGGTCAGCTTCCTCTTCCTCCAAGCTCTCTTCCTCCAAGCTCTCTTCCTCTAATGTCTCTTCCTCCAAGCTCTCTTCCTCTAACCTCTCTTCCTCTAATGTCTCTTCCTCCAAGCTCTCTTCCTCTAACCTCCCTTCCTCTAATGTCTCTTCCTCTAACCTCTCTTCCTCTAAGGTCTCTTCCTCTAACCTCTCTTCCTCTAACCTCTCTTCCTCTAAGGTCTCTTCCTCTAACCTCTCTTCCTCTAACCTCTCTTCCTCTAAGGTCTCTTCCTCTAACCTCTCTTCCTCTAACCTCTCTTCCTCTAACCTCTCTTCCTCTAACCTCTCTTCCTCTAACCTCTCTTCCTCTAATGTCTCTTCCTCTAAGCTCTCTTCCTCTAACCTCTCTTCCTCTAAGGTCTCTTCCTCTAAGGTCTCTTCCTCTAACCTCTCTTCCTCTAACCTCTCTTCCTCTAATTTCTCTTCCTCTAAGGTCTCTTCCTCTAACCTCTCTTCCTCTAACCTCTCTTCCTCTAAGGTCTCTTCCTCTAAGGTCTCTTCCTCTAAGCTCTCTTCCTCTAAGGTCTCTTCCTCTAAGGTCTCTTCCCCCTCTCAACATCTTCCCCCTTTCAACCTCTTCCCCCTTTCAACCTCTTCCCCCTCTCAACCTCTTCCCCCTTCCAACCTCTTCCCCCTTTCAACCTCTTCCCCCTTTCAACCTCTTTCCCCTTTCAACATCTTCCCCCTTTCAACCTCTTCCCCCTTTCAACCTCTTCCTCCTTTCAACCTCTTCCCCTTTCAACCTCTTCCCCCTTTCAACCTCTTCCCCCTTTCAACCTCTTCCCCCTTTCAACCTCTTCCCCCTTTCAACCTCTTCCCCCTTTCAACCTCTCCCCCTCCTCTCAACCACTCCCCCTCCTCTCAATCTCTCCCCCTCCTCTCAACCTCTCCCCCTCCTCTCAACCTCTCCCCCTCCTCTCAACCTCTCCCCCTCCTCTCAACCTCTCCCCCTCCTCTCAACCTCTCCCCCTCCTCTCAACCTCCCCCGTCCTCATATTCTTCCCCCCTTTTCTCAACATTTGGCCTTCCTCTCGTGCTTACCCCCTCCTCTCCTGCTCTTCCCCTCCTCTTAACCTCTTCCCCTCCTCTCAACGTCTCCTCCTCCTCTCATGCTCTCCCGTCCTGATATGCCCTCCCCCTTCTCTCAACCTCTCCCCCTCCTCCCCTCCTCCTCTCCTCCCCTCCTCCCCTCCTCCTCTCCTCCCCTCCTCCTCTCCTCCCCTCCTCCCCTCATTCTCTCCTACCCTGCTCCCTCTCATCCTCTTTTGCTCCCTCCCCTCCCCTCCCCTCCTGCTCCCTTCCCATCTCTTCTCATCACTTCCCTCCTATCATGCTCCCTCCCATCCTCGTATGCTTTCCCCCACTCCCTCCATCCCCATGCCCTCTACTCGTCTTCTCCATCCCCATGCCCTCTACTCGTCTTCTCCATCCCCATGCCCTCTACTCGTCTTGTCCTCTCCCTTGCCTTTCTCACTGTAGTATTCTCTTTCCATTTCCGCAATTGTGTCTTCAGGAGCTAGAGCTTTTTTCAGTGTCAGTACGAACCTGATAGAACCTGCGAATCAGCGAGACCTCTCTGCTGCTATGCTTCCCTGCCTCTCTGCCTCTCTGCCTCTCTGCCTCTCTGCCTCTCTGCCTCTCTGCCTCTCTGCCTCTCTGCCTCTCTGCCTCCCTGCCTCTCTGCCTCTCTCTCTCTTCCTCTCGTCATGCCTGCTGCTACAGGTGGAGGGCTTCCCCACCATAGTGTTCTACCCCGCGGGGAAAAAGGCACACCCGGTGAGACCAGCCCCGCATGGCCTGCCCGTGCTGCCTGCCCGTGCTGCCTGCCCGTGCTGCCCTGCCCGTGCTGCCTGCCCGTGCTGCCCTGCCCGTGCTGCCTGCCCGTGCTGCCCTGCCCGTGCTGCCCTGCCCGTGCTGCCTTGCCCGTGCTTCCTGCCCATGCTGCCTGCTTGTGCTGCCCTGCCCGTGCTGCCTGCCCGTGCTGTCTACATCACAGGCTGCCGTGTTGTGGGGTGGGCAGTGGGCACCATCATGTCGGAGTGACTTTTGAGAATTCTCAAAAGTCACTCCAATAAAGCTGTCTGCATCACAGGCTGCCGTGTTGTGGGGTGGGCAGTGGGCACCATCATGTCATCCCATGCGGCCATTGCAACGCCTTGTTTGTCATGTGTGGAGTGGACTGAGTGTGTGTGTGTGTGCACGTGGCGAGTATCGTACACTGTGGCAGCGATGAGAGAGGTTGGGTGGTCATGCCTGTTCATGTGCCTCCCTGGGGTGAAAAGCACATGCTTGTCACAAGCACATCAGTTGCTGGCTAGCACATCAGTTGCTGGCTAGCACATAAGTTGCTGGCTAGCACATAAGTTGCTGGCTAGCACATCAGTTGCTGGCTAGCACATCAGTTGCTGGCTAGCACATAAGTTGCTGGCTAGCACATAAGTTGCTGGCTAGCACATAAGTTGCTGGCTAGCACATAAGTTGCTGGCTAGCACATCAGTTGCTGGCTAGCACATAAGTTGCTGGCTAGCACATAAGTTGCTGGCTAGCACATAAGTTGCTGGCTAGCACATAAGTTGCTGGCTAGCACATAAGTTGCTGGCTAGCACATAAGTTGCTGGCTAGCACATAAGTTGCTGGCTAGCACATAAGTTGCTGGCTAGCACATAAGTTGCTGGCTAGCACATAAGTTGCTGGCTAGCACATAAGTTGCTGGCTAGCACATAAGTTGCTGGCTAGCACATAAGTTGCTGGCTAGCACATAAGTTGCTGGCTAGCACATAAGTTGCTGGCTAGCACATAAGTTGCTGGCTAGCACATAAGTTGCTGGCTAGCACATCAGTTGCTGGCTAGCACATCAGTTGCTGGCTAGCACATCAGTTGCTGGCTAGCACATCAGTTGCTGGCTAGCACATCAGTTGCTGGCTAGCACATCAGTTGCTGGCTAGCACATCAGTTGCTGGCTAGCACATCAGTTGCTGGCTAGCACATCAGTTGCTGGCTAGCACATCAGTTGCTGGCTAGCACATCAGTTGCTGGCTAGCACATCAGTTGCTGGCTAGCACATCAGTTGCTGGCTAGCACATCAGTTGCTGGCTAGCACATCAGTTGCTGGCTAGCACATCAGTTGCTGGCTAGCACATCAGTTGCTGGCTAGCACATCAGTTGCTGGCTAGCACATCAGTTGCTGGCTAGCACATCAGTTGCTGGCTAGCACATCAGTTGCTGGCTAGCACATCAGTTGCTGGCTAGCACATCAGTTGCTGGCTAGCACATCAGTTGCTGGCTAGCACATAAGTTGCTGGCTAGCACATAAGTTGCTGGCTAGCACATAAGTTGCTGGCTAGCACATAAGTTGCTGGCTAGCACATAAGTTGCTGGCTAGCACATAAGTTGCTGGCTAGCACATAAGTTGCTGGCTAGCACATAAGTTGCTGGCTAGCACATAAGTTGCTGGCTAGCACATAAGTTGCTGGCTAGCACATAAGTTGCTGGCTAGCACATAAGTTGCTGGCTAGCACATAAGTTGCTGGCTAGCACATAAGTTGCTGGCTAGCACATAAGTTGCTGGCTAGCACATAAGTTGCTGGCTAGCACATCAGTTGCTGGCTAGCACATCAGTTGCTGGCTAGCACATCAGTTGCTGGCTAGCACATCAGTTGCTGGCTAGCACATCAGTTGCTGGCTAGCACATCAGTTGCTGGCTAGCACATCAGTTGCTGGCTAGCACATCAGTTGCTGGCTAGCACATCAGTTGCTGGCTAGCACATCAGTTGCTGGCTAGCACATCAGTTGCTGGCTAGCACATCAGTTGCTGGCTAGCACATCAGTTGCTGGCTAGCACATCAGTTGCTGGCTAGCACATCAGTTGCTGGCTAGCACATCAGTTGCTGGCTAGCACATCAGTTGCTGGCTAGCACATCAGTTGCTGGCTAGCACATCAGTTGCTGGCTAGCACATCAGTTGCTGGCTAGCACATCAGTTGCTGGCTAGCACATCAGTTGCTGGCTAGCACATCAGTTGCTGGCTAGCACATCAGTTGCTGGCTAGCACATCAGTTGCTGGCTAGCACATCAGTTGCTGGCTAGCACATCAGTTGCTGGCTAGCACATCAGTTGCTGGCTAGCACATCAGTTGCTGGCTAGCACATCAGTTGCTGGCTAGCACATCAGTTGCTGGCTAGCACATCAGTTGCTGGCTAGCACATAAGTTGCTGGCTAGCACATAAGTTGCTGGCTAGCACATCAGTTGCTGGCTAGCACATCAGTTGCTGGCTAGCACATCAGTTGCTGGCTAGCACATAAGTTGCTGGCTAGCACATAAGTTGCTGGCTAGCACATCAGTTGCTGGCTAGCACATCAGTTGCTGGCTAGCACATCAGTTGCTGGCTAGCACATCAGTTGCTGGCTAGCACATCAGTTGCTGGCTAGCACATCAGTTGCTGGCTAGCACATCAGTTGCTGGCTAGCACATCAGTTGCTGGCTAGCACATCAGTTGCTGGCTAGCACATCAGTTGCTGGCTAGCACATCAGTTGCTGGCTAGCACATCAGTTGCTGGCTAGCACATCAGTTGCTGGCTAGCACATCAGTTGCTGGCTAGCACATCAGTTGCTGGCTAGCACATCAGTTGCTGGCTAGCACATCAGTTGCTGGCTAGCACATCAGTTGCTGGCTAGCACATCAGTTGCTGGCTAGCACATCAGTTGCTGGCTAGCACATAAGTTGCTGGCTAGCACATCAGTTGCTGGCTAGCACATCAGTTGCTGGCTAGCACATCAGTTGCTGGCTAGCACATCAGTTGCTGGCTAGCACATCAGTTGCTGGCTAGCACATCAGTTGCTGGCTAGCACATCAGTTGCTGGCTAGCACATAAGTTGCTGGCTAGCACATCAGTTGCTGGCTAGCACATAAGTTGCTGGCTAGCACATCAGTTGCTGGCTAGCACATCAGTTGCTGGCTAGCACATAAGTTGCTGGCTAGCACATCAGTTGCTGGCTAGCACATAAGTTGCTGGCTAGCACATCAGTTGCTGGCTAGCACATCAGTTGCTGGCTAGCACATCAGTTGCTGGCTAGCACATCAGTTGCTGGCTAGCACATCAGTTGCTGGCTAGCACATCAGTTGCTGGCTAGCACATCAGTTGCTGGCTAGCACATCAGTTGCTGGCTAGCACATCAGTTGCTGGCTAGCACATCAGTTGCTGGCTAGCACATAAGTTGCTGGCTAGCACATCAGTTGCTGGCTAGCACATCAGTTGCTGGCTAGCACATCAGTTGCTGGCTAGCACATCAGTTGCTGGCTAGCACATCAGTTGCTGGCTAGCACATCAGTTGCTGGCTAGCACATCAGTTGCTGGCTAGCACATAAGTTGCTGGCTAGCACATCAGTTGCTGGCTAGCACATAAGTTGCTGGCTAGCACATAAGTTGCTGGCTAGCACATCAGTTGCTGGCTAGCACATCAGTTGCTGGCTAGCACATCAGTTGCTGGCTAGCACATCAGTTGCTGGCTAGCACATCAGTTGCTGGCTAGCACATCAGTTGCTGGCTAGCACATCAGTTGCTGGCTAGCACATCAGTTGCTGGCTAGCACATCAGTTGCTGGCTAGCACATCAGTTGCTGGCTAGCACATCAGTTGCTGGCTAGCACATCAGTTGCTGGCTAGCACATAAGTTGCTGGCTAGCACATCAGTTGCTGGCTAGCACATCAGTTGCTGGCTAGCACATCAGTTGCTGGCTAGCACATCAGTTGCTGGCTAGCACATAAGTTGCTGGCTAGCACATCAGTTGCTGGCTAGCACATAAGTTGCTGGCTAGCACATCAGTTGCTGGCTAGCACATCAGTTGCTGGCTAGCACATCAGTTGCTGGCTAGCACATCAGTTGCTGGCTAGCACATCAGTTGCTGGCTAGCACATCAGTTGCTGGCTAGCACATCAGTTGCTGGCTAGCACATCAGTTGCTGGCTAGCACATCAGTTGCTGGCTAGCACATCAGTTGCTGGCTAGCACATCAGTTGCTGGCTAGCACATAAGTTGCTGGCTAGCACATCAGTTGCTGGCTAGCACATCAGTTGCTGGCTAGCACATCAGTTGCTGGCTAGCACATCAGTTGCTGGCTAGCACATCAGTTGCTGGCTAGCACATCAGTTGCTGGCTAGCACATCAGTTGCTGGCTAGCACATAAGTTGCTGGCTAGCACATCAGTTGCTGGCTAGCACATAAGTTGCTGGCTAGCACATCAGTTGCTGGCTAGCACATCAGTTGCTGGCTAGCACATCAGTTGCTGGCTAGCACATCAGTTGCTGGCTAGCACATCAGTTGCTGGCTATGATGGATTTGACGCCAGATTCAGAAAATTTCAGGAGTCAATACGTGGCGTTTTGACGTTTGACGCGTCAAAGCGTCAAAACGCTTGACTCTCTGGCCAAATTTTTCCGGGCAGCCCGAAATAAAAAAAAACGCCAATGTGCTATGTAATTGATGGAGAACGAGGCAAACTTGGATGCTTTTGCTTATGAAGTACTTCTTTTTCATGACTGCCCCACATATTCAACAACTCCTGCTCCCCAACCCCCCCACCACCCAACCTCTCTTACTAACCCCCCTGTTCCCAGTTCTTTACCCCTGCCCGGGAGTTTTTTTTGCCTGCCCGCCAGATCGTCAAACTGGGGGGTACCCCTGGGACAGGGGGCGTCAATAGCGTCAAAACGCTAGCGTTTTGACTCAGAGTCAAAACGCTGAACGCGTCAAATCCATCATAGCTGGCTAGCACATCAGT